AGACACAAAGAACACAGAATGTACGGGCCTCAAGGATATTTGACAGAACTCTCAAGGTAAGGAAGAAACTAATAAAGCCAACTCAGCAATTGTGCTGAAATCAGCTCTGATTGGTAGAAGGTAATTCCGGCAGGGGGCGATTGTAACAATCGATTCAAGAAACCCACTGACTCAAAAGAAGAGAAAGACAGAGCATGTGGACTTATTAGCATAAGAAGTGAGGCAATCATTGAACCAATAGAAGATAGAATACTAATTAATAAGTAACTTGTAGCCAATGAACATTAATGCCTTTGCTTGCTAAAATGTGTTAAAAATGTTGATAGGCATGGTGCTGTCTTTGTGGATTTACCACCTCGTACCCCGTCCTGTGTGGAACTGTAAATAAATCATATACCTTGACTCTGTGTGTGGATTGGCCTCTTGCCCACCAGGTGAAGGAACCTGTTTTCAGACAACAGTTTTCCAGCTCCTAAAAGTTGGATCCCTCTTCACTGGGGTACACAGAACAGGGAGCAATTGGAACATATTTCTTCAGGGGAGATTATGTCCAGGTGTAAGAAAAAAATATTTTCCAGTCTAGAAAGAATTAGACCTTGGAATATATTGCCCAGAGAAATAGTGGGAGTTTCCTCAATAGAAATATTCAACACTTGGCTTGACAAGGTCCTTGATTTAATGCCTTCATTTTAAAAGGAAGCCAGCTGTCTCTAGGGGTCCTTTCCCAGCCTGAAACTTTCTGAAATTCAAATTGTGCCCTCAGCTGATCGTCATGTTGAGATGTGCTACAGCATTCTGCTCTCAGAGGAGCTTCCTTCAGCTGGAGGCTTCTTTTTTAGAGTAACAATTTGTTTTTGTTTTCATTTCATTGTCTACTTATGTCAGCTTTCATTCTTACTTCGTCATTACTTTTTTATTTCTGCTTTATGAAGTTTCCTTTGAAAGATTTTTGAAGAAAGTATCATGCCTTTTTTCCCCTCACTATTTGTTCTTTTGCCTTCAGCACCTTATTTGAGCCTTCCTTGTTTGGTCTCAGAAGCCCACAGGACTGACTTGGGTTCTGTGTGTGCAGATGGGATGTTTGTGTGTTTGTTTTGTTGTGTATGTAGTGGTGTTAAATCAAGTAGTGTATTTATCCCACAACAATACTGTTTCTGAGATAGATTTATATAAAAATAATGCAAGTTGTTTATTCCAGCTAGTGTGATGTTGCGTAGATGATGACTGAGCACAGCAGTGCATAGCACTACACCGCAAGTCACTGCAGCGTGCAGTGTAGACATGTGCTAACAGCGTAAGAATTCTGTTTGTGTCCAGCATTTTAGAGATCAGCAGTGCAAATGGGAGGAAATGCAATTCATCAGTGGGAAAAGCTCTTGTTGCTTCACCTCTGCAGACAGCCAGAGGCCATGCCAAGCAGTGCTTTCAGCTTTTATATGTTATGATGCTGGTGAGTCAGAGAGGAGCTCTGATGAGTTCTCACCAGAGGGAGGAGATTGCTAGGACACAATCTGCAGGAGAAAGAGGAAAGACAGGTTCATCTGCTGGCAGCAGCAGTGAGATGGGAGACAAGAAAACGTGTTTGTTGAGTGAACAGAATGGGAACATGGAAGGAGAGAAAGACATGCAGTTGGGCATATGCTTCCTGGAAACAGCAGAGTTGGGCATGTCAAGACACAGGACTAATGTGTATTACTGTAAAGTTGTTCTGTAGATGAACGTGCACATTCAAATGGTTTAGGTTGCTGCACAGCTTACCTATTGAAAAGCATTACAATCTGTCCTTTGCTTTAAATTTTGAACTAGACCCGTAACTGGTGGGAGCCAAAGAACTTCATGAAGAGCTCTGCTGATTTGTATGGTCTCATCTCTCACATTTGGAGTGATTGTCCCAATTGCTTTGGTACTTCAACTACATTAGCTATTCTTGAATTTCCAGGAGACTTTTCTGTATCTACAGCTTATAATTTATACATAACTTTCAACCACAGGTTTTAAATGCACATAGCCAACTTCCTAAGTTCAAGCAAACCCAAAACT